TCTTTATCTTTATTATTTGGTCCATTAAAGTCAGCTCTACCCTAATTCATTATTCTTACTCTGAATTCTTCATTGCCTTACAAGATTTAGGATGATAGTGGAAAAGAACAATGATCATTATCCCCAAAATATTCCCCACTTATACAATCTATTGGCCCACATCCACCACAAGAACCAGATCCAGCAATACCTTTTTTTTGGCAGGTTTGGACACATACTTCTGTGGAAAATTCTCTTGAACTCAATCCAGGAATGTTTATCTCATTTCCCCTTTCACGTTGCCCTATCCCCATCCAGATTCAGATAACTACAGGCCTCACCCCACTGCCCTACCATAACTACTGTTTTGGACCAGCCCCCGTCAAAAGATTTTAAGGAGGTCGCCTAGACCTGAATGTTTTCTTATTTGAAAGGCAAATGTGAAGTGCCATGTTCCAGATGCCATGCGACTGGTCAAACTACTCGATGTTAAGCAAAACACAATTTATTCGAACACTGTAGTTAAAATGCAACAAAAGAAGAGGAATTTATAATAACTATTAAAAAACATAACAGTAAATACAGTAACTACTACCAATTAACTGTTACAATATAGTAACATCCCATAAACAGACCCCTTGGCAAAAAGGCAAATTCAGAAAAGTAGATTTGTCTCACAGGTAACTCAGCAGCACAGGGAAACCCCAATTTCTAGCTGTGACTAAGAGGGGGAAAAGATAGCTGCTTCTTCCTCAAAACTTCAGCAGCTTCTGTGAGAGTTGGCCACACTCAGCCAGGCTGCTTCTATTGGTCCAACTTTAACAAAAACCCAACGCCTCACACCGTGATAACTTTATTAGCATTCTAACAAGACACCTCAGTACCTCTATCCTAAAACCTCTCTTTAAGAAAAAATCTAGGACAAAATAACCTGAAAGCCAAAGTATCATCACACTACTCTATAATGCTTGCACCTGTCTGTAATTTTTTCACAGATCTGATACACTACATCATTCTCACTAGCTCAGAGCATAGAGACTAAACTGGAGAATGTAACTGCAAGTTGTTGTTTCTTAGCTGTAGCTAAATTGATTTTGGCCTTTAAACTGCTGGGACATTCTCTTTCTCCAGCACTACAATGCTCTCCTGACACAATATTGCAACCTGTCTCAGGTTTTTTTTTAAATCTTCTCTGAACATCTTACATCCAGGAACATTTAACACCTACACCTGCTCTACCTTGAGCCAGGTCTCTGTTACAGCCACAGAATCATATTTCTACATAGCAATCTGCACCTGTAAATCACTTTATTTATTATACTCTGTGCATTTAGGTACATGGACCAGAACAATGGCTCAGAACCTCCTCTTCCACTTTTATGTGCCTTTCTGACGATCTCTTGTGGTTCTCACACCCCTGCTAATTGAAGTTAAACCCTCCTCAACATTATGAGCAAAATACCCCTTAAGGAATTCAGTCCTGGCTCTGTTCAGATACAGTGTAGCCAACCTGTACCACATCTCATGAAATATAATGATTCCCACCACACCACCTGAAAGCCACACATTAATCAGTCTTATCTTCTATTTCTGTATTCATGTGCACGTTGTTCTGCATGTCCTACTTTTAAGATCCACGGCAGTGGAGGGAGAGAATGTTGAAAGTGTTAGGTGTAGTGCTAATCAAATGGGTCACTCTGTTTTGAATGGTGTCAAGCTTCTCAAATGTTAACGGAGCTGTATCCATCCAGGCAAGCAGACAGCATTCAATCACATTGCCAAGCCATGCCTCAAGCATAGTGAAAACGCCTGTAGGACTTAGATGGTGAGCCACCTGTCACAGAATTCCCGGCCTCCAGCCCTCTTTCATGGCATTAATTTGTTTAGTTTTTATTTCTGGTCACTGGAGCCCACAGTGTTGATAGTGAGGGATTTAGCAGTGGTAATACCATAAAGTCTGAGAGAGCCACCACTTGGTACTTGTATGTATCAAACACCAATTGCTACTGATCATCACAAGGCCTTAGTCTTTTGGGCATGGACTGCTTCAATATCTAAGGAGTCCTGAATGAAGCCAAACAATGATGATTGCACAAAGGAAATGTCATTGATTAGATAGTTGCAGATAGTCGTGCCTTGGACACTACCCTGAGGAACCCTTGTAGTGATCTCTGGCTGAATGACTGACATCTAATAGCCATAATCATGTTCTTCTGTGCAAGACATGACCACCATCAGCAGAAAGTCCTTGCCCTGTGACTCCTAGTGGCTCCAGCTTTTCCAGGGCTCATTGATTCTGCACTTGTTAAATACTGCCTTGATGTTAAGGACAGTCATCCAACATCATCTCAAGATGAGCTCCTCTGGACCAAGGCTGCAATTAAGTCTGGAGCCAAGTGGGTCTGGTCAAACCCAAAGTGATTGTCAGCAAGCAGGTTACTGTTGATGGCACTCAGCATTACTTCACTGACGACTGAGAGCAGTGTGACAGTGCAGTAACTGACTGAGCAGGACAAATCCTGCCCTTCTCAGATAGTAAATATCTTAGCAATTCTTCATATTGCTGGGCAGATGTCAATGTTGCAATTGCACAGGAACAGCTTAGCCAGCGGCATACTAGTTCTGGAGCATGATATTTTGGCAATGATATTGAGGACCTATCAAGGTCCCCAGCCTCTGCAGCATCCAGTACATACAGTCATTTCTTGATTTCATGGGGAGTGAAGACAATTTACCAAAGGATGGCACCTATGATGCTGGGGATGTGCTGGGCTACGATGTCTCAAGAGGAGGCCAAGATGGATCATCCTCCAGGTAAATCTGGCTGAAGGTGACTGAAATGGCTTCACACTCTTGTCTTTGACACTAATGTGTTCAGGTCCCCAATCATTAAAGATGGGGATATTTGTGAAGCCTTCTCCTCTAGTGAGTTGTTCATCTGTCCATCACCCTTCATGACTTGATGTGGCAAAGCTTAAATCTGTTCTGTTGGATTCAGGGATCAATTAGCTGTATATTACATGCTGTTTTACTGCTAGAAGTCTTGTATTGTAGCTTCACCTAATTGACGCCTCATTCTTGGTATACCTGGTGTTGCTCCTGACATGTTCTCCTGCAATTTTCCATCGAGCCAGGAATAAAGCCCTAGCTTGATGGTAATGGTGGTGGCCATGGAGGGTGGGGGGTTAACAGCAGACAATGATGTTACTGATTATGGTTGGAAACAATCCTTGTGCTACTGCTGATGCCCACAGTGACTCATAGATGCCCAGTCTTGTATATCTACATTTGTTCGAAATTTCTTATTCAGCAGACTGGCACTGCCACACATGGTGGAGGATGCCCTCAATGTGAAGTCCCAACTTGATCTCCACAAGGACTGTATACAAGGTACGCGTCACAAAGTAATCAATTCTACCAATACTTTCAATAATAGATGCATGTGGTACAGATAGGTTTCTGTGGACAATGTCAAGTACCATCTTCCCTATTGTTTCTTCCCTCACCATCTGCTGCAGGTCAATCCAACAGCTACGCTCTTTAAAATGGAGACAGCTTGGTCAGTAATGGTACTACCAAGTCACAGACGTCCTCTGTAGATGAGCATAAAGCATTTAACGGCAACACGGAGTACATACAGGTAGTGCATAAACAATTCTGCACAGCCACACTGTTGTCTCAGAGATTTCTAATGTTCCCCTGTCATTGCTGAACTTACCCATCATGTGTGTTACTTCTCCATGAGAACATCTTTCCTTTGCTATCCTTTTGCAAACCGTTTCCAAAAGAAGGATCATGTTTCAACATCACCCTTATTTACACACGTAATCTTGCCTGTGTTGGTACCTGCAACAGGCAACCCATATTGAGGGTCAACACAACTCAATTCAGGCAGAAGAAATGAGAAGACATGAGAGTGCTTGAAAAGCAGAGAAAAGACTTAACATCAAGGGAAGGCCAAATATGAGCCAAAGTGACTGCATTCAAGGCAGCGAGCAATCAAGATGGTTGCAGTCAGCAAGCGAAAACGAAAGGGCAATGTCTACCACCTCATGTCATTAGGTTGACTATTTGTGCCTTTTCTAATGTTTGTGCCTTTTCTAATGCATGGTTATGATCTAATTGCCATGCAATTGTTGACCATGGCTAGTTTGTTTACTTATACTCACGAGCCAGGTAAATTTCATGATACACAATCATCTGTAAAGCGTACCTGATTTAATTCAAATTCAAAAAAATAAAGATCGACTTAACTGTTCTGATCCCCCAAACATTTTATTTTCCAAAAAGGAAAATATTTGTGAAACTACGGAGTTCATAAATGTAACTTGTGCTATTTTGCTTGATTGCTCTTCAGTTTTTAATACCGTGCAAGGTCACTGAAAAAAAAAACTTGGTGTTCATCTTACTGTTCAATCAAAAAAAAATCTTACGATGGGATCCAGCAGGTTTGGGAGATCCGACCAGTTAAATCGTTATTTATTTTTCGAGTTTGAATTAAAACCTCTCAATCAAGTAGGATTTACAGATGATTGTGTATCATGAAATTTACTTGGCTAGTGAGTATAAAGTAATATAAACAATCACTCATTTTTGTGGTTGTTCCGAGCAAGTTGTGAGATAGGACACAAGCCCGTGGAGCCAAGTGGAAAATCAATAAAATGTATCTGAACTGGTTTCTCATACCTGTAAATGGAATTACAGTAACACTGTTTTGATCTGGTATGAACTGTTTCTTCTTCCTGTTTGTTGTCTTATCAGTAAAATAACGCAGCACACGAGTAGCTGATGAGTCAATATCGATTAGTTCCTTCAATTGTAGTCATTGCAACAATTTGATACGTATCGATTCAAATTAGAATTGAATGGGAACGAAAGAGAATACTCTTTGCTCGATGACAACAACCGCACTGTTATCGTTCAATCATTAAAATGGCAGCCAAGCCAGTTCAGCTCGAGCGCCTTGGGTCTCATCACATGGTTGCATAACGGGCAGGAGCCACGTGTGGGTCATTCAGGTTGCCGCAGGGAAGCGCCACGGGGGAACGAGGTGGCGTTCTTGGCGTTAGACCGTTGGAAATGGCGGGATTGGGCCATTGGTTGATGCTGCTGGTGGTGGTGACAATAACGCTAGACGATGCAGGTAAATAGTTGGTGATGGGACTGCAGCTTCCAAAGTCACCATCATGGTACTGTATTCACTTACAGTGAAGATGAAACTTTGTAAACAAAAACCGAAAGAACTGCGGGTGCTGTAAATCAGAAACATGAAACAGACATTGCTCGAAACGCTCAGCAAATCTGGCAGCACCTGTGGAGAGAAATCAGAGTTAACGTTTCGGGTTCAGTGACCCTTACACAGAACTTTGTAAGTGCACCACAAAATGCGTGCCATAGAATAAACGGTCTTTCTTCTCCTTATCAAATTTTCTGAATGAACATGTGAGCTGAAGTTATGTCAGTGAGAACAAAATAGGTCTTTAACTGTCAGATTCTCATGCAAAAATAACCTTGCTGCACTACCTATCACCCAATAGCCACTTGTGGGCAATTTTGAGATTGAGTGAGAAAGCGTGATTAATTTATAACCTTACATAGGATCTAGCTGCAATTATCTAGACCAGCATTTGATGCCCATCACCAATTGCCCCTTGAGAAGTGGTGAGCTGCATTCTCAAGCTACTGCAGTCTGTGGTGCAGAGACACCCATAGTGTTATAGGAGGGAAGTTCCAGGATTTCAACCCATCAACAGTATTATAGCTCAAAGTCAGGCTGCTGAGTGGCTTGGGGAGGGAACTTCCAAGTGGTGGTATTCATGTGCATCCTTTTAGGTGATTGAGTTCGTGGGTTTGGAAGGTGCTCTTGACGGAATGGTGACACATTGCATGGCATCTCGAATATGGCACATGCTGCAGTGCATCATTGGTGGAGGGAGTGAATATTTAAGGCAGTGGATGACAATCATAATTCCTTTAAGGTTAGGACAGTCTAGGAAAAAGACAAAGACAGACTAGGAACAAAAGTTCTCAATTAGTTAAAAGCCAGTTTTACTAAGCTGAGATGAGATTTAGCTAGACTTGAAACAGCTACTTAAGGTAAAACAGTGCCAAATTAATGGAGGAGCTTTCAAGGAAGAGACTGTGAAAATTGAAGAGAGAGAGTGGGACTAACAAGTCCAGAGGCCAAGGATGTCAAAGGCCTAAAAGGAAAGGATGAAAAAAAAGGAAGCTAGTGAAGAAAATCTATAAGAACGTGCAAATACGGGGTTGAAATGATAAAGTACGTTAGGAAAGCAAAGAACTACATGAAATCAAGGTGAACACAATTTTTTTTATAATCACATAAAGAACAAGAGGTTAACTATAGATGAAAGGCCAATTCGCAACCTGAAATGTAACCCTTGTGTGGAAGCAGAAAACATTAACATGATTCTTAAGGATACTTCTGCATTTTGTTTTCCGAAAGAGGGGAATGATACATGTATTACAATTAGGGTGGAGGAATGTAAAATATTAGGGGAATTTAACACAGTAAGAGAGTTTAATATTTTTGAAGATGGATAAATCTTCAGGCCCAGATTCATTATATTTCAGTTGTTAGGAAACAAGTGCATAAGTAGGGAGGCTCAAAGATTTTCCAGTCCTCTCTGACCACAGACATGTGTTCAAAAATGGGAGGACAGCTAATGCTGTAACATTGATTTAAAAAGGGTAAAAATAATTAAATGTATTTAAAGATATTTAATATTTAAAGGCCAGTCAGTTGCTAATGAGAAAATTATTGGAAAAAATTCTGATGATCATGATAAGTCTTCATTTGGAAAGATATGGATTAACAAAGATTTCTTAATTGTTTGAATAGATTTAATATTTGGAGGAAAGTAGCACAGAGAGTTGATGAGGGTAGTGCATTTGATGCGGTTTAAATGGATTTTGCCATAGCTTTTGATAAGGTCCCACATGGCAGATCGGTCATTGAAGTAAAACCGATGGGATCCACGGAAAAGGCTGGGATTTTTGAATTTCGAATTAAAGTATGGTGGCAAATGGACACGTTTTCTGGAGAAATCATCCACTCTTCACCTCATTTTAAATGCAGGTGAGTTCTGTGGCGAGTTCTGTGGCAAGTTATGTGATGAATCACGTGGATGGTGGTGATGGTTTTTACCACTGGTGGCACCTTTCAGGATCAAGTAGTCTGACACCATATTAAAAATCTAACTGGGCCACCTCTTCACTCACTCCAAACCAGTTACTCCAGGACAGTGAGTGGTCATCATTCCTAACCCCAACAGCCCACGAGATGTCTATCAAGCATCTGTGCTTTAACCATGCCTCACTAGAACAGCTGCCCCATGCCGTCAAGACAGAAGGAAGGTCCACTTCCCGTCTGAAGAGTGGAAGAAGCTTTCCCATCAGACCCTGGTAGCCTGGACCCAGGTTGCATAGGAGATCATCAGTGCAGCAAGATCCCATGCAGGAAGCAGACACATGTTCTCTTGCCCTCTGAAAGAGTAAGTGCCACTATCTTCTCTCAGCACCCTCAGACTCATCACTCAGTATCACTGTCAATGTACAGCTATATCATGTCAGCATGCCCACCTCACATCAAATGTATTATGTGCACTGATGGGTTCACACCCACTATATGCTTTTGATGTTCTAACTTTACCTGGCACTGCACTTTCTACTCAGTTATTGGGGGTGAATCTCAACCTAGTAGGGCTATGCATGCTCATCAAATGTTCATTCCTATCATACTGAATCCTTTATGTCTTATTGCAGGACAAGCTGACACATAACAGGAAAGAAAATTCCCAGAGTGATAGAGGCTATCCTGATCTATGCCTTTGAGAAAAGTGTGGTTCAGCTGGTTGTTGATGACTATGATTGACCCTATGCTAATGGATGCTGTGCCAGGAAAAGCCACTGAGGCGCATACTTTTCTCAGAAGTGTAGCAAATCTTAAGTATTGCTTGAGATACGTTTTGTGCTCTTTCACCAACTATTTCTCTGTCCATGAATGGTCAACAGAAGAGGCTCAGAGGCTAACTGACACAAGTATCTGTCAGGATGAAGCCTATGACATTTCAGAAGATGCATCAGCAAGGCTTTCACCTTCACCCTTCACCAGCACAGAATGTTCCACCACAGTGGGTACTTTAGCTGGAGTAGATTTGGGGATTTAATCTGGTGAGGACAGAACTGACACATATCTACAGCCATTGGAATAAGAAACAGCCAGATCTCTGACATTCAGAGAACTGTTGCATACCAAGCACCTGCTTGGCCCTTAAAGAAGATGTGCCTCTGTATTTGAGGATAATTGACATGCTGAATGATAGTGTTAACATTAAGGAAACATTAGGCAAGGATGTTTGAAGTCCTCCCTATGCTGTTTGAAGTATAGGAAACATGTTCTGACATTATATATATATATGCTCAGGAACCATATTGGTACACTTTCTTCATCATTTTAAGGTAATTCTTTTGCATCAGTACAGTATGACCTGATGTACTCCTTATACAATTATCATGACTTGGCTGTGTAGCTTTTCTCTGCTGTGTTGTCTGTCACAAATGTGCATCATGTGTTGGCATTTTTGATTTATCTCACTAAAGGGGATTTGATTAAATAGTCAATCATCAAGATGTTTTTATTTAATTATTCATTTGTGGGATGTGGGCTTTGCTAGCTGGACAACATTTGTTGCCCACCCCTAGTTGCCCTTTAGAAGGTGTGGTGATTTGCCTTTTTGAGCCGCTGCAGTCCATCTGCTGTGGATTCACCCACAATGCTGTTGGGAAGTGGATTCCAGGATTTTGACCCAGCGACAGTGCAGAAACGGCAATATATTTCCAAGTCAGGATGGCGAGTGGCTTGGAGGAGAACATGAAAGTGGTGGTATTCCCATACATTTGCTGCTCTTGTCCTTCTAGATAGAAGTAGTCTTGGGTTTGGAAGGTGCTGTCTGAGGATTTTTGTGTGTTTCAGCAGTGCATCTTGTAGATAGTATACATTGCTACTGAGTGTTGGTGGTGGAGGAAATGGATGCATGTGGGTGTAGTGCCAATCAAGCGGACTGTTTTGTCCTGGATGGATTCAAGCTTCTTGGGTGTTTTTGTGGCTATACTAATCCAGGCAAGTGGACAGTATTCCATCATACTCCTGACTTGTGCCTTATAGATGCTGGACAGAATCTGGGGAGTCAGGAGGTGAATTACTTGCCTCATTATTCCGAGCCTCTGACCTGCTCATGGAGCCACTGTGTTTATGTGGTGAGTCCAGTTGAGTTTCTGATCAGTGATAACCCCCAGGATGTTGATAGTGGGACATTCAGTGATGGAAACACCATTGAATGTCAAGGGGTGGTGATTAGATCTTATTGGTGATGGTCACAGCCTGACATTTGTGTGTTGCGAATGTTACTTGTCAGCCCAAGCCTGGACATTGCTCAGATCTTCTTGCATTTGAACATGGACTACTTCAGTATCTGAGGAGTCATGAATGGTGCTGAACATTGTGCAATCATCGGCAAACATCCCCACTTCTGACCTTATGGTGGAGGGAAGGTCATTGATGTAGCAGCTGAAGACGGTTGGCCCTAGGACACTAGCCTGAGGAACTCCTACAGAAATGTCCTAGAGTTGAGATGACTGACCTCCAACAACCATGACCATCTTCCTTTGTGTCAGGTATGACTCAAACCATAGGAGAGTTTGCCCCCAATACCCATTGATTCCAGTTTTGCCATACTCTTTGCCTTGATGCTAAACTCTGTCAAATGCAGCCTTGATGTCAAGGGCTGTCCCCCTCACCTTACCTCTGGAATTCAGCTCTTTTGTCCATGTTTGAACCAAGGCTGGAACAAGGTCAGGCCTGGTGGAACTCAAACTTGAGCGTTACTGAGCAGGTTATTGCTGTGCAGTGCTGCTTGATAGCACAATTGATTTGACCTTCCATCACTTTACTGATGATCATGAGTAGACTGATGGGTTGGTAATTGGCCTGGTTGGATTTGTCCTTTTTTTTATGGGAAATTTTCCACATTGTCGGATAAATGTCAGTATTGTAACTGTACTGGAACAGCTTGGCTAGGGGAGCAGCAAGTTCTGAAGCACAAGTCTTCAGTACTTTTGCCA